CAGTATTTTGACTCTGCTGCCAGCCATCCCCCAGAGACCGGGTGCAAGTTCTCACAGCTGCTGTTGTGATGGCCGTGGTGGCCAAGGCCGGGCAGGAGCCGGTGGGGGGGAAAACAGGGAGAGCACACCCCCACAGCTGGCCACCGACCGGGGCTGCTGGCCACCGGCCTGGCCACGCCGCATGTGCCACGCTGGTGACAGTCCCCTTGTCCCAGGAACGGCTGTCACCTCCTCCAGGGAGCCCAAAACCAAAGGGCAAGGAAATACTCACACCTCGAGTGTTGTGTCCAGTTTTGGGCACCTCAATCCAAGAGAGATCTGGAGGTGCTGGAGCGAGTGCAGAGGAGGGCAACGAAACTAGTGAAGGGCCTGGAAGACAAATCATATGAAGAGCGGCTGAAGGAGCTGGGGCTGTTTAGTGTGAGGAAGAGGAGGCTGAGGGGAGACCTCATCACTCTCTACAACTACTTGAAAGGACACTGTAGAGAGGTTGGTGCTGGTCTCTTCTCACAGGTAATTAACAATAGAACGAGAGGGAACGGCTTCAAGCTCCAACAGGGGAGGTTTAGATTGAACATTAGGAAGGAATTTTTCACGAGGAGGTGGGTGGGTGGTGGGTCAGGGCTGGGGGGCTGCCAGGGCAGAGGCATCAGCTGTCCGGGGCTGGGCAGGGGGGGGGAAAGAAAAAGCACATTTCAGAGGGCTTGGAAAGCTGCTGGCTGCCTGCTCGGGGATGAGGGACCGAGGAGCAGGTGGCCACAGGGGGGTTCCATGGGGGGAAAGAAAAAGCACATTTCAGAGGGCTTGGAAAGCTGCTGGCTGCCTGCTCGGGGACGAGGGACCGAGGAGCAGGTGGCCACAGGGGGGTCCAAGGTGTGGGGGGGCCATGGGCAGTGGCAGAGCTGCTCAGGGACATGTCCTGTGCCACCCCGTGCCCCTGTCTCCTCAGCCCCAAAGGTGCAGGGGGGGGATAAGCAGGGGATGAGGCAGCAGCTCCTGGGGGTGGGAAACGCAGCCCGTGGTCCCTCCGGAGGGGGGGTCCACGCTGTGGTTCTCCAGGTGGGGACAGTGCCCGGAGCAGCATCTCCATGAGCCACCCTGGCTGGAGCAGGGGAAAGGACCTGCTGGTGTCACAGCCAAGCCCTGGAGATGCTCCAGGCAGGATCTGCTGCTCGGGGGGGCAGTGGCAGCCGGGGACATCCCTGTCCTCACCCAGAGGGGACGTGGCTCCCACACAGACCCCATATCTTGGATACAGGACATATTTCTTTGCAGCAGATGCTGTAGGAGCCCCCCAGATCCTGCTCCGGGTGGCTGGTTTCCATAGGTCTGTGCAGTCGCTGCCCCTACTCCCCAGCTCCAGGGGATTTTACAGCCAATTTTAAGCAAATCCTAACGGAATTGAAGTCCTGAAGCTTCTGAGCTCCTCGACAGTGGGGGGCTGGAGGAGCCCAGCGGGGAGAGGGCACGGGGTGAGCCATGGCTTCCTCGGGAGCAGCGGGTGAGACCACGCTGAGCCAGAGAAAAAGAAGTATTTCCCTTGGAACATACGGCCACGGCAGAGCGTCCTGGCGCCCGCCAACCCCTGCCCGCTCCGGCTCCAGGGCAGACGCCATCTGGGATTTTTGGGAAGGGGACAGCCCCGCAGAGGGGAGGCTGCCGGAGCCCGGGGCACGTCACCGGCTCCAATGCAGGGCATCTGCAGATCTGGTCACAGAATCATAGAA